AGTCTCGCCTTCGCAATTCCATTTCTTGTACGTTGACGCGTGTGCTCGACCATGTCTAGTAGCTCGTACTGTATTCGCTTTGGCCTGTACTATTAGTAGTACCATCAATTCTAATACTATCTTGTTGTCTTGATCATCCATTGTATGACTTAAGTATTATTATAGACTTGAACTCTGCGTGTAATGCCGTGTCATTTTGCGACCCTTCTATCATGCCCAATCGTATCAGCCTTACTCTATCATGCCCGATCGTATCAGCCTTACTCTACCGTGCACGATCATATCAGCCTCGCTCTATAATGCTGTATCATAACTGGGCTCAAAATATGAAACTTCGAGGTCTTCCGTAATGAAAGTTGGACCTGTGATTCGGTGATATGCATTATGGTCATTGTACTGTAAGTTAATACATGTTTGCCGTGTACAATATCTCCCTAGTTTTTGTGATGCACGGCTTTGGCACACTGCTGGGAAAACACTCCTCCGTCGCGCAGACGTTCGACGAGATGAACAACGAGTCGCCGTGCAGGAATTACCGCGCGTCGCTCGCCATTGTGTTCCCCTGGATCTTCAGGATGCCGAGCAGGCGCCGCACCAAGGTGCTGAGTCTGAATGAGACGATGGGCGACAATCGGTGTGGCGGAACGGTGTTGTACATGCGTCGCGAGTCCGATGGGTTTATAATACACTGGGCGTACCGAGTTTGAGGATACATATACTTGATAGCTTTGACACCTCGTTGAAGACACTAGAACGGAGAAGCTTAAGGACACCATCGTCCATGGTGTAAGAGCAGGTCTCACGTTACAGACCACGCCATGTGTGCCGCCACAGCCACTTCAATGAGCGATTGAGTGGGAGAATGTGTCCTTGTGCCTCGGATATCCGCCTGGGGTGACATGCTCTTATTTCATGACACAGATTTGACCGCTAGCTAGCCTCGTATCCACGTGAATATGGAACAAACTGCGGAAAACTTATACTTACCCGAGATTGCCGGTCCGATGAAGTGACGGCTATGACGGCTGCCTTCCGTGTCTTCCGTCGTGCAGTGTCCGATGAATGTAACGTAGATCTCCCAAAAGGGCAGTGAGAGCTGTATTTTTCCGGTAGAGTTTTGGCAGTGCGAATGCATTAAGCTGCTCTCCTGGGGAACTGAGTTCATCTGATGACTTTGTGTGTATGCAATCCATTGGAATGGTGCTCGCCAAGGACGTGTGGGTGTATGCATGAGCTCCGTGTCATATGACGATGTTGTGAGGACGCGAAACAAAGTTCAAGCGCTAATTAAGACCATGTGCATTTATTGTTAACCGAAGTTACAGCGTGGATATCTTCCTACAACCAACATCATCTTTAACCTATACTGGGGAAGGAAAATAAAATGACGAGCGCCGATGTTCTGACGAGCATACCAGATCCAGGAATTAATGGACAATGCTCTGGTAATATATACCAGAGTGTGGATTCAGTTTGGTTCGACACGACACGCAGCCAACTTGCATCACTTCCTAGTAATTTATGCATGCCAGTGTGGAATACTTGGCGGCTATCCGTGACTACTCACAGATGCTCAGCACCGATACATTGGAAGTGTATTTCATTTGTGGTGTTGTCTCAAAGCAACACGAAGTCACGTTGACTCAGGGACAGTTCCGCCGAGGAACGCAGCAGCGGATTCAAACTCTAGACATACTGTACTTTTTCGACCGTTTGCTCGTCCCATGTCCCACGGACCGGGTAAATGAGCATTTTTGGCGGGACTGTCCCACCTCTATAGCCACTTACAAACAAAAAAGCGGGACATTCGGGAAAATCGCGCGAAAAATGAAGATAAATTCGAATTTTTTCCTCTAGTGTAATCCTGACTATTCTAATGGCCTAAGAACTCGTCGTACCACTCGCTAGACACCTTGCGATGTTTCCCTCGTTGTTTACCCGCCTATTGTTGTCCATTCCGAGACCAGCCTCTGAGTCATGCATAGCATCAGGGCCGAGGGTCTGAGTTATGAGGTTGCAGGGCTGAATCTACGAGTTGTTGAAATCCTCATGAGCCTCAAGAGTCATAACATTAGAAGATTACAGAGAAACAACAAGTTGAGAGGGAACATACCTTGTATCTGCTACATTGAGCAACATGACGGACTATTGACAACTAAGAGTCAGTAGTGCGACATCGGGGGCTAGCCAAGCCAGAGATATGACCTAGAGTGTCAATTCCTTTAGCAAGCTGAGTGCCGTGGACAACTTACCATGATCTCAAGCATTCAACTATGCTGATGCATACCCTGACATATCCAAGTTGCACCTCATGGTTTAAATATTGGAAGGAATGGAAAGACAGTGAACGACCAGTACTGTCCCGAGGCTGTTGTGTCTCGGATGGAGCAGGTTAATTAGCCCCTGACGAACATATGAGATCCCGAGCCGCGAACAAAAAAGCGGGACAATCCGTATTGAGAAAGGGATTCCCACGAGCGAATGGTCGAAAAAGTACAGTATTATGGAAAACTAGCAACAGGCAAATCGCTCGAGTATACGTGCACTAAATGAGCGAGCACAGACCCACGAGTCGTCGCCCGGCTCGCTGTATTTGCCCTCTAATTAGTCCTACCCGCAGAATTTCACCAAAATAAAAGGCACGGCGGATCGGGCTAACCAATAGGGATCATTTCTCCGATCTTATGGCCTTCGGCGGGTCGGTCCGATCCTCCGGGATTGTTAGATGAGCGTGTATGGTTCCGGTACGGCGCATGAGGATCCTAAATTGACTTGGGAAGGACCGAAGGTTGTTCCTTAAAGCCACATGCATCAGAGGTTCCGCAGTCTCGCCGCATGACTCGCTTTGAATAACACCAAGGTACTTGTCGTTTGACCAACACAAAAGGTGACATCTTCGTGAGATGTGTTCCTGAATCAAGCTTGCAATCTGTAAAACCCAGTTGTTCGAGCGCAAGGCGAATCGTGGAACATCTTGATCTAGCTCCCGCTGCTAGATAGCTATTCACAGTGCAATGCTCATCCTATGGTTCGATCTTCAATGAGGAGGCACTTTCGGTGTACGTCGAGTCTGCGAACACAAGATTGTCCTTTGGATGATTTCCGACTCAGACTTGGTCAACCATTGGTTTGAGGTACAGGTCTTGAGACAGTTACAAATTCCGCGATTGTCCCCGCCAAGCTAAGGTTTTTTAAAGATAGCAAGTTGAATTGGATATTCATATAGAAGTAAGTCACTATACTCGATGCACACATACGTTTTGGACACTGGCTCCCCTCATATCTCGGCAAAAGGTCAGCAGGACAGATGGATGCGCAGCGTATGATAAGTACCCAACATAGCCGGCTCCCATTCAGGATCGTGAAGGTATACCTGTCTTGTTTGTGTAGTAATTTGTATTAACGACCAAGGGTGACTAACCAAGACGTAGATCTCCGAAACAGTCACAACTTTATATGGTCCATTAAAGTTTTTGGCAATTTGAGGCGCTCCCATGCCGAAACTGAGCTCGGCTAACTAATAGTTTCGGGATAGTCCACCTGTCAGGACTTCGCTAAACGAAAACCGTGCACTTGCATGAGCCCATATGGGTGTACATCATAGCTCCGGGCCCTGAAATGAAGCTTGCGCAGAAACGGAACAAAATTTAAGTGTCCCAGTGTGCAGTAAATTCAACTTATTTTATGGAATCCTTCATTTGAAACAGTACCGAGAGGAAAAAGCCCCAGAACTAAAGCACAACAACGCGAACAAATGCAAAGGGCAAATCATTCGGACGGCGACTCTTGCCAGAATGACAACCCAAGGGATCGTTGAAAAGCACTCTGGTAAACAGGATAGGATGTATGATCCTATTGGTTCGACAAGACACGCAGCCAAGTTGCATTATTTATTAGTGACTTTTTCTAAGTAAGACAAGTGATGCTGACATCTGTATGTCATTGGGTGTACCCCAGAGCAATGAAACCATGTGAACTCCTAACCCGGTTTGGCATGGACCATATGAACCCATTACTCGCTTATGCACTCCGTCGGGTAGATTCCGTAAACAATCAGGTAGTCAATTACATTACATAACTTTTCAAAAGGGGTTTCTACCTTGTGGGCCCACAGCAGCCAAGACCTTTGATGGTTTCAGGTAAATTCAAGGTTGATGTAATGGACCGCAGAAAGCAAGTTGTTGTAAGTTGTGATGTACGAAGGATTGGAACATCGTCGCAAACGCCTCTTTGTATAAATCCCAGCGTCTTTGTAGAAGCGTGTATTCTTCCCAGCAGCAAGAATGAACGCGAGAACATCAAAGCGCTTTCCATGTAGTTATGAAGGCTGCACGTTCAGCTCTAATCAGCGTTCTGGCACTGAAATCCACAAATCAGCAATCCAGTGAGTCATATATTCCCGGAACCCAATTCGCCTCATATAACTAACACGGCCATCTGTCAGCTTGCGAGAGAAGCCGAAGAAGTGCCCCGACTGCGACCATCGTACGGCAGATCCATCGTCACTTACCAAGCACAGGAAGCGCCGTCACGGTTATGAACCATTGCGTCGCGGTCCTGTTCCCCGTAGTTCCTCCGACTCGGATTCGAACGCTGGTGCTTTTGTTTCCGCAGAGGACTGTGACGTTCATAATAAGAGATACGACCCGGACCGATCGGCTCTGTTTTGCTCGGAATGTTTCGAGTGGATATTTCTTGGTGAGTGCTGATGCTGTCTGTCTTTGCACGAATGATTGACATGTGTGTAATGACAATACCATTTTTAGAGATCAACAGTCTTTCTAATCGATGAAAACTTAGTGGGTCTATTGACATAACATTTGTCAGTTCAAAGAGTGATGAGGGTGCGGTCAAAGACATCAAAACGCATGTTAGAAGTTTACTTTTTCGCGCTGGGTCTGTTGATTGTTGAGTGTGTAGCCAAGTACTGGCCTCACGATGGAAAACCCCTAAGTAATGCATATCATCAAGGAAATAAACCCATAATTGGGGATACATTGTAGCCAGAGTCGAGCCTATTTGCCAGCCACCACCCCACAAAACCGGTGTGAATGCGATGTATGCGTACGGGTGTCACCTCCCGCCTTCCGGGAGTGCTAAGAATGAATAAGCCGAGATCCCTCCAACGCGTGAAATATATGTTATATGACTAGAACCTGACGCCATGTATCAGTCAGTATGCCTCCCAGCTCTCGGGTGCGATAGTTTTTCTCTGTGATAGGCCGCATTAAATACGCAGCTTTTAAGCGTCATCGAATATGTGAGTATGTGAAAGCAAGCTAGGCCTGTTTCAAGTACCGTAACTATGTGAGTAAGTGGAGAGACCCATCGTCAAGGACTTTTACATTAAAAAGCTACATAAGTTCATCGAAGCTGGAGTCAAATAAGCATGTTACGAGATACGTGCGTCGTCACTGTTACTTCAAGTCCTTTTGTATATTCCTCATCCTCATCCAAGTTCATGCAGGCGAGAAGCGATAGAGTCTCGAGGGGAGCTCCATAGCCCGCGCGGGAGGAAAGACATGCTGCGAGGGACATCCCGCTCGTCGCACCGTTTCTCTCAGCTGAGAAGTCAACGACACCTAGTGCAAGTTTCCGAAGGCTTGGAATGGGAAGTTCAGTGGGATGTTCTTGTTGCTGGTGCGGAGCCAAAGCCTGAGTGAGAGCTGGGAGCTGGATGTGACAAACGGACAAAGAGCGTAATCGTGGCATCGCGTTGAAGATGTTGGAAAAATCAGCTGCTGTCACGGTCCAGCGAGCTCTGTTAAGTATGTGCAGGTAAACAACACAGTCAAGAGACAGCGATGCAGACATCGCGGAAACGAACTGGCCGATGTCAGATCGGAGGATCCCGCTGGTATACAGCCCAGGATGATTCTCCGAAACGGCGGTTAGGTTGTTTGCTGTATTTCCCTCTTTGTCTACACGAGAAAGGACTCTTCTGCACAGGACACAAATGCAAGTATCATCCATGGCGTCATATTTGCCTGCTTCAAAATGGAACTGGATTGACTGGTGAGAGCAATGTGACGGTTGCAGGTCTACGCCGAGCGCTGCATGGTATCCATCGAGCGGCAATGGAAGCTCCACTTCACTGTCATGGCCGATTGCATCAAAGGAAAGAAGGTCGCATACAACAGGCATGAAAATGGATGAGAGAAGCTGGGAATAGTCGTCTTCTAAACCGAAGTATTCAAGGGGATTCAAGAGCTGAAGGGTTGACATGAACTCTTGGCAGACATCGAGGGTGTCCGTGACGTGAAGACGCCGAAGCCGCGGCAGGCAGATGCCATTCCGCCTGTCTTCTTCGTTTAAGCAGCAAATTGTCTCAATAAGTGACAGTTCGCGTAGGTTCTGCAGGTTATTCAAAAACCCTCGGGGAAGGCTGAAGAACAAATTGCTTAGGTGTAACCGCGTAAGTTTGCAGGCGTTACCAAGTCGAGTATCAGTGGGAAGTATATTCCCGAGCCAGCCACCTGCGTCTTCGGCATTAATGATACTGAGCGACTCAAGAGATAGAGTTTGTTGACGCCCGATTTCGGAGAGAATGACGCACAGCGCATCGGTCGTCGTTTTGATGACCAGCTCTCGGATACGACGGAGATTATCCGTGACCCAGGACGCGGCACTTGACGGGTCATTAAGAACACACCCCGATACGATGAGAGGGGTGATTGCAGTGGTGCGCGAGAGAAATTCCCTTGTCCACTGTGAGGAAGTGAGAGGTGGGCGACTCCACAACGCCGAACACGTGAGAGCAGCCATGCGCCAATGACGGCAGACGTGGGTGACGCATATCCAGTCCTGCAGGCAAGCTCGCCAGCAAGTGTGGATCTGCCAGGGGTTTTGGTCTATGTGCGAGAGTGCTGCGCACTCCTCAAAGATAACAACGAGCAATTCGGGAGGTAAATGAGCGTTTAAGCACATGTCGAGTCCTTGCGTGCAATATCCGAGTCAGAGTACTTGGATTCGGTGTGGACTTTTATCTGTTGGATATGGGGCGTGCATCGAGCCTTATATCAGTAAAGCACAATGACTTGCTGTTAAGCTGAGATCTACCTTCACTTGACCGACTCGGGGTGGACGAGGGGGTCAGAGATAGTGAAGTCACGCTGTCAGCGGACAATATTAGCGGAGATTCAAAGTGGTGGCTTAGCCACTCCCATTAAGCGCCCATGTAGTTCGAATGCGTAGCCAACAACCCGTAAGGCCTTTCACAATGATTAGTGATCTTGCCCCAGGGTCCAAGGCAAGTCTAGCTTCCACCAATTATACATCACAGTGGACTACATTAATAGCGCATTTTGTCGGGAGTGTGTGTGAGCGGTGACTTGCACCACTTCGTGCACGAACGTCATCTTCGTAGGACGGCTCGCCCTCCCTGCGCGGCGCCGACTATGACCTCTCCAGAGTACGCTCTATACTGACATTGTCTCTGTCCCTTTAATTACCAAAGGATATTCTGATAGGTTCCCTAATACCTCTATCGACTGCTACTACTACTTATGCAGCTTTATCAACGATAATTGTTAGACTAGTGCAGCACACTGGCATTACAATTTTGCATGAGAAAGCTTGAAAGTGCTTTCCAACGCTTGTGGCCGCACTGCACTATCTAACTCATCTAGACACCAACCTCTCACATAGTAACATGAAGTTTCATATTACCCTCGTCGAAACGCTATATAACACGGTCCACCAGCCCGTCAGGATCATTCATCTTGCCGGAGAGATGGGGTCGTGAACAAGTCGGGGAAGACAGCCCTTGTGCGTGCGCTCGCACAAAGGCTTTGCGACGACGGCTCCCTCAGTGTAGCCACTTTCTTTGTCCCCAGGAACCACCCTGTTCAAAACACCGCCGACTGTATCCGCCCTACCATCTCATACCAGCTTGGCTTTACTGACTTCACCCTTATGCAGGGGAAATAATCACCAAACTATTGTCGACGATTTCCGTAATACTGAAGCTAGGACGATTGCGATATGAGCAGACACACCTCGTGTTCGCACGTTTGCAACTTGATCGTGGTGGCTCAGCGCTCAGCTCCCAGCCCTCACTCGCTCAGTTGGTCAAGGGTTTCGTCAAAACGCTCTGTCAACAGGATCCAGCGAGCTCCAGCATCCTCAGCCTGGTGAGGTATCTTGTCACCGGACCAACTTTGCCCGTAGCAGTGGTGTGCGCCAGCCCCATGCTTCGTTAACTGTCCAAGAACCGCAGCAACGATGAAAGGTTCCAACGATTGCGACTTCCGACTCTGGAAATTGAACCGGTCGACTTTATGATAGCTTGGTGTGGAATACTGTACCCTAGTACTGTTAATGGTCGAGGCGAGTCGTCGCCGTTGCGTTACAGTAGACTCCGAGGAGGCCGAGGTATATCGTGCCTCCAACATGGACATCGGGGCTGACATGGACACATCGTGACCACCTTGACCTCACCTCGCTGATGTATCGTACACGCCCAAAACGAACCTGAGTTGGTGAGCTAAGTGGTATGTCGAGATGCTCGGTCTAGCGAGGGAGCTCGCCGGTGCCGGAAGTTGTTGACCATGATTATTCCACTGTACCGTGATCAGTTCAGTGGCGTTCAAGCTCGACGAGTCTTGCTAGGTCAGGCGAGTGTTCCGGATGTGTATAAGAGGGGACACGGGTGATAACGTCCTGATATACTATTCCTTCCTTCAGCACACGACGGAATACACCCAGCCTAATGACGACTACCTCGAAGATCTGGTTAAGTGAGTACCCTAGACCTCACAGCACCCAGCACCCCGACCCACGCACCCCGTTCAACCACCCCAACCCCAACCCAGTCACCGGCGCCTCCTCAGGCCTCGGCCTCGCCATGACCGAACACCTCCTCGCCAAAGGCGCCACCGTCATCGCCACCCTGCGCACGCCCTCCGCCCTCGCCCACCTCGCATCCAAATACCCGCCCTCGCAGCTCTCCGTCCTCCCGCTCGACGTCTCGCAGCGCGCGCAGGTCGCCGCCGCGTTCGCGCACGCCAAAGCGAAATTCGGGCGGCTGGACGTGGTGTTCAACAATGCGGGCGCGAATATTCTCGGCGAGGTGGAGAGTCTCATGTATATGGGCGGCGGTGAGGAGGGGTACATGGAGGGCGCGAGGCGGGCGTTCGATGCGAATTTCTGGGGGGCGGTGTATGTGAGTGCGGAGGCGGTGCGGTTCTTTCGGGAGGTGAATCCGGGTGGGTGCGGGGGGAGGCTGTTGCAGATGTCGAGTACGTTGGGTGTGGTTGGGAGGCCTGGGGCGGGGGTTTATGCTGCTTCGTGAGTGCTCTTGATTCCATGGGGCGAAGAGGGCTGATAAGGGCGACGATGGGCTAGCAAACACGGTGAGCGGGATTGTAGACGGTCTGTGTGGATGGCGTGCTCACGTTAAACGCTAGCCCTAGATGGCTTCAGCGACTCGCTCGCCCAAGAGCTCGACCCGAGCTGGAATATCAAGGTACACCCCAAACGCTTTCCCTTCTCTCTAACTCGCCCATCCGTCCACGTACAGGTAACCATCATCTGCGCCGGCCCCTTCCGCACACCCTTCGTCAGCACGAACCAATGGTGGCCCGAACAGCACCCCGCATGTGCCTCGCCCGACTCCGCCGCGTCCAAGTTCCGCGAGTACCTGTCGAACCCGCCGCCGATCTTCGCAGAACCGGCCGAGGGCGTGAAGGCCGTCGAGCGGTTGGTGCACATTGAGGACCCGCTGCTACGGTTCCCGTTGCATGTCATCGCGGCGGACAGGATGCGCGATCGAGCGAGGCAGTTGAACGAGGATGCAGATAGGTACGAGAGTTGATCGGAGAGGTTCTCGACGAAGTAGGGCGGGGGTTACTTCCGGTGGGGGGATGCAGCTGTGGCCTTCAGGTCTTGAACACGTTTGCCTGCTCACACCAAAGAGTATCTTTCCGTCAGTACTGGATCATGAATGCGGAGGTGCATGAATTGGGTAGGTCAGAGAGAAGATAAACTTGTTGAACATCATGCACGAGCGTCAAAGGCCCCGTGTCAGATAATCGAACCAATGATACATTGTGCTCATCTTGTTCTTGAAAGCGACATAAACATGGACGCTCACCGATTGCTCTCTGCCACTGCTGGTCCTAACATTTGGACGCAACTGAGGTTGAGTTGTGGCTAGTGAGAGCCAGCGTGAGGTGGCAAAGGAAATGTCCGATGGAAGGTCCGCAAGCATCCGACATATGCAAATTCTTCACGTTCGCCGTGTCACATTACGGGTCTCATATGCAGGAAAGGAGATGCATGTTCCATAAGCTAGCAGACCGAGTCACGGGCACCCGGCATTCCGCGGAGAAGGGGGCGAACGAAAGGAAGAAAGAGGAAAACAAAGAGCGACACAAGGATTGGCTGGTGGGAAACGTGGCGCGTGACGTCAAGCGCGTGACCCGGCGCCAATGCCCGCAAGACCTCTGCGCGCTCCGTCAACAGACAGCGAGGAGCACAGAAAACATCTCTTTCTTCATATAATCCCCCCTTCGCCCTCTCTCTCGTGTCTCATTGTCTCCTTCATAATCCCTAATCGCCACAAAAGTACTCTCACATCAGCACATGGTTGGCTCGTCCCCACACAAGAACCCAGGCCGCTACCGCCACGCCGAGGCCATCCTCGGAAAGGACCTCGTCGACCGTCTCGCAGACACCAAAGTCCTCCTTGTTGGTGCAGGTGGCATCGGCTGCGAACTCCGTGCGTCCCCCTCTGTCTCCTCCGCCACCCATACAGGTTGGGCGCTGACGGAGCGCCGCAGTAAAAAACATCGTCCTCACCGGATTCGGACACATCACGCTCCTCGACCTCGACACGATCGACCTCTCCAACCTGAATAGGCAGTTTCTGTTCAAGAAGAAGGATGTGAAGCAGAGCAAAGCCCTCGTGCGTCTCTTTCTTCCTATCACCGCCACTTCTCCCCTCTTGCTCTCCCTCTCTGCTTCTCTCTCTGCCTTTCTTCTCGCGTGCTGAGGCGACTTGATTTGTGCAGGTGGCTGCAGCCACAGCAGGCCCGTTCAACCCCAACGCGCATATATACCCCATACACGGCAACATCAAGGAGCCCCAATTCGACATTGAATGGTTCAAGGGGTTCGACATCGTCCTGAACGCGCTCGATAACCTCGGTACGCACACCACCTCAACCCCATCTGCCCCACTTTCTGATACACCGCGTCACAGACGCACGAAGACACGTCAACAAGATGTGCATGGCCGCCGGCGTACCCCTCATCGAGTCCGGCACCGCAGGATACCTCGGCCAGGTCCAGCCGCTCGTCAAGGTGCATTCCCCATCCCGTCCGTCCTCCCTCAATCAACACCTCATTCCCATTCCCATTCCCGCTCCCACTCCCCATGAGACCACGTGCGCCGCTGTGCTCTCAGAAAACTGACGCGTTTTTGGTTTGTTTGTTTGCTTGTTGTTGTGATACCCAAAGGACCGCACAGAGTGCTTCGACTGCGTCGCGAAGCCGACGCCCAAGTCGTTCCCCGTGTGCACGATCCGCTCGACGCCGTCGCAGCCTATACACTGCATCGTGTGGGCGAAGAGCTATCTGCTCCCGTGAGTGCATGGCACTGCTTTTTGGGCTGGTGGGAAATGCTGATGCGCGGTCACAGGCAGCTGTTTGGCGAGGACGAGGACGGGAGCGAGCTCGATGAGGCTGAGAAGCATGGAGAGAACGGTACGTTTGGTGTGTTGCATCAGACTTTCAAATACTTATATATGCATGCAACCGTCTCCCCCGACCACGCATATATCCACGACACCTAAATCCTTGCATTCAGCGCAAGAAATCGCCACCCTGCGCAAAGAAGCCCTAGCATACAAGGCCGTCCGCAAAGCGCTCCGCTCACCCGCAACATCCGCCGACGCAGCCCGCATGGCATTCCAAAAGGTCCGCCCTCCTCTCCTCCCTACACCAGCCCCCCACAACCCCCGAGCGCACGCACTAATCCCAGAACGCACACAGGTCTTCAACACGGACATCCTCAACCTCCTGAGCATGTCCGACATGTGGCGCACGCGCCCAAAGCCGACGCCGCTCGACTTTGACCTCATCCAGAACGGCGCGTTCAGCTTCCTCACGCAGCCCGCCGCCGCGGGGTCCAGCGCGTCGTTCACAGGCTCGCACGCGCTCGCGAACGGCGTTGCGGATCTCTCTGTGGACGACTCTTCCAGCATCGCTGGCACGAGCGCCGCTGCGGGATCGACGGGCGCTGATGGCTCTACGAGTGCGCCGGCGAACGGAGGAGGCGGGCTCAAGGACCAGCGCCGGCTGAGTCTGCAGGACAATCTCGCGATGTTCATCGGGAGCGCGGACCGGCTCGCGGCGCGCTTAAGGGCGGGGGAGGACACGATCGGGTTCGATAAGGATGATGACGATACGCTGGATTTTGTTACTGCGTCTGCGAACTTGCGCGCGTTTGCGTATGGGATTGGGAGGAAGACGAGGTGGGAGGTTAAAGGTGCGTTCTCTCCTGTCTCTTGTCCTCACTATGTCCCTTCCTGTCATCTTCACCCTTTTGCTCCCCTTATCCTTTCCTCCCATCCCTCCATTGCCGCATGAAGCTAAATACACGCGTAGAAATGGCGGGCAACATCATCCCCGCGATCGCGACGACGAACGCGATCGTCGCGGGCGTGATCGTGCTGCAGGCGCTGCACGTCCTGCGGCGCGCGTGGAAGGACCTGCGCAATGTGCATCTGCAGTTCAAGCCCGCGGTGCCGCTCAGCACGATCCGCATGTGCGCGCCGAATCCGCGCTGCGGGGTGTGCAGGGATATGTATGTGTGTGTGCGTGTGGATCCGGCGCGGGTGACGTTGCGGGAGCTTGTTGAGGGGATTTTGGGGGATGGGGAGCGTGAGAGTCAGAGCAGTGAGGATGGGGATGGGGGGAAGGGAGGGACGGGGCCGAGGGATGTGAGCGTGTATGAGGATAAGCGGGTGCTTGCGGATCCGGATTGGGAGGATAATATGGATAGGACGCTGGAGAGTCTGGGTGCGGGCAGGGGTAAGTTTGTGACGATTGTGGATGAGGAGGAGCAGGTGGGCACGGTTGCTGTGGGGCTCGCTGCGTTGCCGTGAGTATCCCTTCGTCTCCCCTCGTTTCGCCGATTGGATGCTAACTTGGACACAGACCAAATCACCCACAAGACGCACCCGCGCTCATCCTCCCCTCGCCGCTCCCCGTCCCGCCGAAATTCATCAAGCTCCCGCCGGTAACGCCCGCGTCGCCCGAGAAAACGCCCGCGCAGGCGCTCGCTGGTACGTCGCTCAAGCGCCGCGCGCCCACAGACGACGACGGGATCATCGCCATCGACGACGAGGGCAGCGGGCCGCCGGATGCGAAGCGCGTTAAAGTCGGTGGGGGGCCCAACGGTCATGGCCACGCGCATGTGCATACGCACGGGCGGAGCGCCGGTAACGGCAATAGGAAGGCAAGGGCGGCGGGGGCGCCGGAGGCGGGGCAGGAGAGTCCGAGTAAAAGGCGGAGGCTGGAGGAGGATGGGTTGGTGTTGCTTGAGGGGGCTGGGGGGAGGATGGTGGATGATGTTATTGAGATTGAGTAGGTTGGGGGTGGGTGCTCTCTCTCGGTGTGTTGCTCGTTCGACTTGCCCTTGACGTTGAGGATGGTGCGTGCTTTGGGCATGGCTGCAGAGGATCGAACGGTGCAGGGAGATGAAGGGGTGAAGGCGTGTATATTAGGTGGCGGGCGGAGAGTGTATATTTTGCTAGGCTAGGCTACTATGATGTTTAGGGTACTCTATCTTGTTGACGTGTGCTGTTGCAGTGCGCGTCTTGATCTTTTCGTTGTCGTAATGTAATGCTCTAATTGTTTCAGATGCTTTTCCTTCTGTTGACCCAGCAGTTGTCGGATTTATCTGACATACCTAGGACGAGGTAGTTGTACTTGTTGGAGATATCTCTCGCGGCGTTTTCCGAAGGGGAACAACCTCCCCAGCGCCTTCTGTGTTGTGCTTGACAACCAATATCGACCACGTGAACTACGGCAAAGAACGTCATTATATCTTAAACATCACATCGGCAGCTCTCCATCCATCTCCTAGCCTATCATGGAGGATGCAGCCTTCCAGCCATTCAAGGGCCACACTGGCTGGATTCTCGCACTCGCATACTCACCTGACGGTGCACTCCTCGCCACTGGGGTCCCTGAAGATGCAGTTTGGCTATGGAACCCTGTGCAGAACAATGTGTGGTGATAAGCGGGCATACGGCGCAGTGGACACACAAGCGCCCATAACAGAGGCAGCGTGCGAACCAGTGCTGATATTGCCTGCCTCGCTTTGCAAGTGAATGCGGAAGCCTGGGTGGAGAGATGGCAGTGCAAACTGGGGCCGGTGCAGGACCCCTGGCATGAGGCGGGCGAACGATGCGGAGTTCTGCCTGAATTGCTGTGCTCGCGTGGCCGAATTTGGCAGGTACTGCTCGGGGTCCTCACTCGGCTGTCTCGGCGGGGCCATTTCGCGTCAGAGGCTTTTCCGCATCTTTGTGCAAACCGCTGTAAGGAGCCCTTCCGCACGCTCGAACTTCTGTGCGCAGGCATTTCTCGCTTCCCACAACGACTCAGTCACCAACAACGTCCCACATCACCTCACCATCCTCATCCTAGCCTATCATGAAGGAGACAGACTTTAAGCCATTCAAGGGCCATACCGACGCGGTCTACACACTTGCATACTCGCCCGACGGAAAATTCCTCGCTACTGGGTCTGACGACAAGACAATACGCATATGGGATGCGGCGACGGGTCGTCAAGTCGGCGGTGCTCTGGAGGGGCATACTGATGCTATCCGCGCCATTGCTTACTCTCCTGACGGTCAGCATCTAGTTAGCAGCTCCCTCGACTGCACTGTTCGCGTATGGGGCACAACTACCCATCAGATGATCATGGCCCCACTCAATGGTCACACAAACCCTGTTATTGATGTGCAGTACTCGCCAGACGGCACACACATCGCAAGCGGAGGTTATGATAACCTCCTAAAGCTGTGGGCTGCGCAAGACGGCAAATGCGTGGCAACAATTACACACCCTTCCGGCGTTAATTCTGTCTCTTTTTCCCCAAGTGGAGAGCACCTCGCCACCGCTTTCAACAACGCTATTATCCGTATCTTTGCTGTGAATGGTTTTGAGCGCATCCGTGAGCTATCTGGCCATTTAGGCCCGGTCAGCATCGTCCAATACTCTCCTGACGGATCATTCATCGCTAGTGCATCACACGATTTCACCATCCGGCTTTGGGGTTCTCAGTCCGGAGAGCTGGTCCATAATTCTTTGCGTGGTCACAAGGGTATAGTCAATAACATTTCATTCTCGCCTGACGGTCTGCAGCTAGTCAGCTGTTCGCAAGACGAGACCATTCTGGTATGGGACGTCACATCAGGCGAATGTATCTCAGGACCGCTTTATGGGCACCAGGGGGCCATAGATGCGATACAATGTTCTCCTGATGGTGCACGGTTTGCTTCTTGTGGATTGGACGGCATCCGAGTTTGGAGTATCCGCGATGGAGTACAGGTGCTCCCTCAAGTACGCATTACGCCCCTGCCACGGTCATGATGACATTAACAAACAACTTGTTTTAGCCAACGGCAAATAGCATCAAGGATATTGGCGACAGATCCGAGTGTGTTTCTCGTATATCTGCTCGCTGAGCTACATCTGACAAAGACAGATTTAAGCTTCCCCGCTTAGTTGAAACCCGGGCGGTAGCGTGGTTTGCAGACGGAAAACGCTTTGCAAGTGCCGACGACGATAACGCAATCAGGATATGGGACGTACTCATAGGCCAAGAGGCTGCACATCCTCGCGTGTGGAGGTTGAAGGGTGCCAAGATTCACGGTTTAGATATCTCAAAGAAAGAGGATCTTCTGGCGATTGCCCAGGGAGATGGTGGTATTTGCATCTGGGACCTTGTGCACGACAATACTGATCCAAGATTTCTCTCTGAGCGCGAAGTTTCGGTATCGGCAGTCAAGTTTACTCCGGATGGTGCACGCCTAGCTGGTGGAGGACAAGACGGGAATATCCGTATATGGGACATGAAGGCCAGCGCGATCTTGCATGTCATCGAGGCCCACAAGGATATTGTCGTGACGCTCAGCATATCGTCTAACGGCCTGTTGCTAGCCAGTGGATCCGACGATAAGACTGCCCGCATCTGGGACCTCAGGTCCTATGAAGCTCTAGGTGAACCTCTCAAACACGACGCCACAGTGCTGTCTGTTTGCTTCGCGCCCGACGGTTTGCAAGTGCTAACCGGGTCATTCGACGGAGCAGTACACCTATGGAACATCTTGCAAGGGCACGAAGAGCAGGTCTTTGTTTGGCGTCATGAAGATATGGTCAACAGCGTGCACTTCTCGGGCGATGGATCGAAGTTTCTGAGTGCATCAGACGATCGACGGGTTTGTGTATGGGATGCTGCCAGCACTAGAAAAATTTCCCAGACTCTACAGCATGACGTCTCAGTAAATTCGGCGGCCTTCTCACCAGATGGAACGCAAATCGTGAGCTGCACCGGAGATCATGTATATGGGTCAACCAGTGATCTCCGCCTGTGGGACACGAAATCTGGGCGTCTCCTGCGTCCCAAGGTTCGTGCTCACCCTCCCTCTTATAACACTCGTTGAAGACACTTGCGTCATACATAGCGACTCGGCGGATTTGGTATCGCCACAGACAACGCTTTGACGGAGCCCGAGGTAAATATCCTAGTTTCCTTCATTATGCGAAGCTCATGTCATATTTAGAAACCCGGTGAACGGAGCGGGAGAACTCAGCGACAACATGGAAAGGCGCCAATGGTAATGGTCGTATTCCTTTCTCTTTGTATGTGCTTACACCCAAGTAGAACCTGGATTTCGATCAAGAGAGTTTCATACAGGTACGTCTCGTTTATCCCCCATTATTTATCGACTAACCTATCGAATCTCGCTGCTTTCAGCGGCCAACAGTTCCTACAAAGCGAAGGGACAGATCGTCCGCCGGCGCTAACGATAATATCGTGAGTTTCGCGTCCAGATGCGCATACTCAGTCCTGACATTATTGAAAGAAAACTGAACTGAAGGACTCTGGGGCGGTGAACAGTAATATCAAACGCGTTCGGGCTTTCGCCCAGCACTGGTCGCTTACGAAAGGGCATCTCAATGAAGTCGACGAGGAAGTATGTGTCATTTTCCCTGCTTTTAGGGAACCAACGTCACTCAAAATTGACCGACGTCTCTTACGTTCGACAGAATGCACTGTTGTCAGACAACGTCCAAGATGCTACCGCTCGTGATCGCTTCAACGCGGTGACGAGTGCATTCCGCCGAATGAGGGTTCGTAGATCATTTCCATCAACGAACGCTCATACCATCCAGTTGACGTTTTCTTTGATTTTTTTGCCATTATTTATAGATCCATTTGACGCGTCCTAGAGAGGAATCCCCCGCCGACGAAGAAGAACGCGAATCATACCATATGCAAAATTTAAGCCATCACGAGCCACCACCTACTGTGGAGGTGTACCCGGCGCGTGATGACCCAGTTAGGCATACCTAAAACTGCATGTCAGTTCAGATATTAATTCTTGTTCACAGAGAATCGTGGCGGCGCCTGAATGGCCCTATAAGTCATTGTGGCAAGTAATACAAGTGCTGTTCTGCTGCAAATCGAGGCAGGATATTGTGGCTGCTAATCGGCAAACGGATACAGCTCGGCCAAAGACCACAGCAACTGGTAACCAAGCCACTGGGACACGTTCCGTCTAAGCTGAAAGGGCGGTGCCTCATGCATTATGGTACGTTGATGTTTCGTACAGGGAAAATAATCCTTGCTCAACTCCGCGTGCCCCTTCGTTCGTAGCACGTCGACTGGTCTGTGTGTTTATAAATCTACAACCAGTCGTGAGGCATCATATTCTCTGCCTCGTTTATGTACGATAGAAACGGGTTCTTTATTGCGCCACCACGACTGCTGGTGGCCGTAGTCATATCTTCGAGAAGGGCATGTCGGGTACAGTGCCACCCAGATGTTATGGTGTCGGCGAATTGTTAGGGTATGATAATTATTGAATGTGTACGAGCATATGTTGTCACGGCATGGCCTTGACAGAGTGATATCAAGGTCGAAGTAGAATAAGGATGTCATAGACACGTAAACAACACACCCGGCACATGAGTATGATTCTACACAGGAGACTACAAGGTTAACCAGAATAAATGCACCCCATACGAAGCGCAAAACAGCGGCCCAACCACCCGCCCCACCCTCAGCCCACTCTTATAGAAGCCTATATGTACTCCAAGTCCGACACTGAAACTGACCATCTCTTCACGTGTCCATCTTCTTCCCATGCACATCCCGCTGTCACTCTACGTGCAAGCCGATTGCAGCATCGACGAGGACACGTGCGACGCGCTCGACGTGAATGACGACATTTGGTGCCCGCTGCAGCGCTTGCTCGGCGAACAGACCTGTGAGCCCTCCCAGGGAGCGCCCGGTTTGCCCGCGATGATACCGCCTAGGCGGAAGACGAGCACGGTTAGGGGATAGGAGGGGATCGGGTTTTGCGGGGTTGTTGATGACGTGGACGTTAAAGAGGTGGTGGAGGTGGTAGGTACGGATGCCGCAGAAGTGGATATGGGCTGTGGAGGTGACGAATTAGATTGGGGAGGCGATGAGGGCGGTTCCTCGGAGTATGCGGGAGGTCCGTCCGAGATGGGGGGAGGCTCGATAGCCTCAGATGGTTCGATTGGTGCCTTCTTTTTTGTAGGAGCGGGCGCGGATGATGGCTGTGATTCTGGAGCTGGAAAAGGGAGTGGCATAGACATAGTGTGCGCGAAGCTCGACCAGTTCGCGCTCAATACGCCCCTCATCTAGAACGGCGCGCTCAGCTTCCTCACGCAGCCAGCCGCCGCGGGCTCCAGTGCGTCCCTTACCGGCTCGCACGCGCTCGCGAACGGCATCGCGGATATGTCCGTGCACGATCCGGCGCCAGCATTAGCATTGCGGGATCGGGCGCTTCGAATGCAGACGTGGCACCGGGGACAGCAGCGGCGAATGCGAATGGGGGGCTCAAAGACCAGCGCCGGCTGAGCCTGCAAGACAACCTTGCGATATTCATCAGGAGAGCGGACCGGCTCGTGGGGCGCCTAAGGGCCGGGGAGGGCGGCGGATCCGGTGCTGGGGACGCTGCGGGAGCTGGTCGAGGGGATATTGAGGGATGGTGAGCGCAAGAGTGACAAGAACGGGGGTGAAGGTGAGGGGAAGTACCCTTCCCATTGCCCAACGTATGATAACCACACCAGCACACCCCTCCGGCGTCACCCGGCGTCGCCGAAACCACCGTGCTCGCCTTCTCCCAACGGAACTCCTCGTCATCGTCCTTGCCCTCCTGTCCCCGTACCCTCCCCCACTCATCATGAACGCCCTTTCGTGGCGTCGACAGCGGAGAGGAGGTGTACTGTGACAACCGCGACGCGAATGCGGCGCCGAGTTCGACGCGCGCTGTAGGCCCCAAAGGCTCCAGGTTCTTTCCCAGAAGTGACGGTGAGGGTGAATCGTCCGCCTCGCCCTGGACCCCGAACCGCGTCCGCCGCCTCTTGCCCTCCCTCCGCGCTCTTATGCTCGACCCTTCCACGGTCCAAGTCGGCTCAGACGCGTATCGCGTGTGCATGGGTCTGTCGCTGGTGCTCGTGGTAGGTGTGCTGGAGCCCGCAAGCGCGTCTTCGTCGTCATCCCCGTGTATGCCCGTTTGCTGAAATGTACCACGCTCCCATTTGGCCGAATGCGAGGCGGAGAACAAGGGTGAGATCATGGTTTGTCGTGTGTCGGAATAGTGATGTGTGTGTCCGTGTAATGTGAGGAATCAGATGCTATAGTTTGTGAATAACGCAGTCACTGCGCGAGAGCTTGTGTCTTGGAGCGGTTGATCTGATTTGCGAGTGTCGCGTCGCGGGTGCCGGCCCGCTATTAATCCCGAAAAGGGGGTTCCGAAATAAGGATACTTGTAGATGTCGAGAGGCCACGTACTCTCGCTGACCTGCTTATGCTTTGGATGGACGATGGTCGGTGTAAGGGTGAGCGAGAACCAAACGTGTCGAGACCATTGTGCCAGGAATGTGCATGCCACTCGACACGCTTGGGTTTGTTGCTAACGTGGCGCGCGGTGGACGCGAGGCGGAGAGATCCCTTGTTCAATTTCAGTGCATCCCGGCGACCCTCGTCGTCGCACACAATATCTGACGTTGAGAGAAAGCGGTCATGGTGAGCGCCTCATAATCATCTCTTCTGACACTCACTCAGCTGTGGATCTCTCTTTCATCCCATGTATCGTCTGCATAAGCAGCACTGGCGCTTCTCTAGCGCTTAAGGGATGAAGTTTTCACCTTTCTGATAAACGCCCATTTTAGATTCACGCAGTTACCATGCTGTATACGCTTCTTCAGCTTCATCTCTGCTTTGAGCCACCATGTCGACAAGACCACGCGTTCTTATTAACGCTTTCCACTTGATAGGACGTCTTCTCAAGAAGCTGCTCATCCAATCAAAGACGACCGTCATTCGCTTGTTACTATGGTTTTTCTCTAGAATTCAAACGTTTACCAGCACAAAAGCGACAACAACGCCAAAGCCTTATTACTGCTCTGTTTCTCCGTCGGAATGCATTCCTCTTGCGCCAGTAGGGTCTGGAACGAACATGCCATCTAGTACATCTCCACCTAGCGATGCTCCCTGTGAAGGCGAAAACCAACCCTCGACCTCTGGAGCTCTTCTGCCATCTGACCCTCCGAATTCGGATTCGGATTCCGAAAGTTGGGGGGGCAATCCCGGCCCCGCCGAGGAGGAGGACAGGGGCTTAGTGGGGCACACACAACCTCCGAACATGACGGATGGATGGAGCTTAGAACCAACCACGGCGTCAGACGTCATGGCGCAGAGATATAAGCGACGTCGTTTTGCGTGAGTAACACACGCATGCCTGACCTATGCTTAACCCTTTGGTCAGCAAGGACCCATCCTCAGAGCTCGAAATCGACGCCGGGATGACGGCGTTTTCTGAGTAGGTCGTTTGATTTGGATGCTTGGTATATTGGATAGAGCTGACGCCACGTGTTCGTACATTAGTGAAAATGAGTCTGGTTGGACAATCTGTGTACATCCCGAAGGCGCTCTGTATTTTGTTCGCCGACAAAAGCGAAACGAGGTATTTCCAGCCCATTGTCTTGTCCGTTTGATACCGACGTCTCATATTCTCTAAAGAAGAGTGAGGCAAACATTGTGAGTGACGTCTAACTGGACTTCAATCCATGTAGCACTGAGGTCCGATATAGACTATCCTCACGAACGCAGATGTCAAGGACCAGGAACGATGTATTTGCGAGCATCTGGACAACGCTATTGATGTCATCCTCGCTCAAGTTATCGAACGCGGACTCCAGGTTGACGCCGAGTTGGTGTTATGCCCTAATATCAAGCATAAAACAATCGGCTACTACTTCGTGGACGTACAGGCTCGCTGTATGATATGGGCGGAGACCCTCAAGTTGTCAGAGACACGTATCACTGAGAACGTCAGAGGTTTTCGGAGCATGGAACATATCAGTAAGCCTCGTCAGCTTTTCTTCTGACTCAAAGTTGATGTCTCCAGGGTATGCGATGGAGGCACAGTACTGGTGAGCATGACCAAGTCATTGGTTTTCAGCACTGAATCACAGCCCGCAGGGCCCATGTCGAGGCGTTTCCACTTGCTAGAAGCTTCGATGAAAAGACGTATAACGAGCTCAGCCATGCTGTTCTTCATGCCAGTGCCGGTGCGTTCATCACCCATCTCTGAATCAACGCTTGCGTTGACAAGCCTATAGAGCGACTAACGAGCAAAACATCACTATCCCCTTTTGATGCGGATGAACTAGACAAGATTCGAGATATTTTAGACTCTCTGCAAGGTGATCATCCGTGACAGATCTTGCTCGTAGCGCTGACAGGACATCGAGACCAACTGCACCACGAGAGCCCGTATGCGGTATGCATACTTGGTGAGCTGACATTAGCTTCCATGTGACATATGGGACTCAACGATAGACACGATAGCTCGACTATCACATACATTTGGTACAGCACACGGCTTAGAAAGTTACATTGAGAATGCTTACTCTTTCCAGCGGTGTCTCGGTTGCACAACTTCTGCGGACAACCCGAAGCTCGCCTCGACGCTGACAAATCTGTGTGGCCGGACAATACGCTGAGCTCGCACTGGATCTTCCTCAGCCTTTCTGTCTTCATGTTTGGTACCCCGTATTCCCAGCTCGAGCGACTGAACAACGTCTGGGTAGACCGCACGGTAAACTCCGCAAGATGGAAGGAATACATCTCGACCGTGTACGATGAATTCATGGGATTAACGCTTTACGTACGCCTATTTCAGTGACCCCTTCCATTCCTTCAATCACTTACCCTGCTGGCAACATCCCGCCGACAGTCAACCGTGATGCTGACCGTCGATGTATCTTTCCTGGCCGTCCCCGATGTTGAAGTCGCTAGTCTGGGAAACGAGGACGCATCGACGGTATCCACCTACCTTTCGATCATTGCGATTGTCGGATCCATGACGCTCTCGCTTCTTCTGTCTGCGGATGCACGCCGGCGCAAGTCAGAGTCAGCCTCTAAAGCGGTATGCGTTCTTTAGCATTTTCCGTACCTTACTCTATGACTCAACTACAACAATCCCGGCAGGCCGGTCTGCTCAACACCGTGAATATGCTTTTCGGGCTCGAGCTGTTAGCCATTATGTACAGCATGCCGTTCGCACTCCTCATGTGGGGGTAAGTGTTGTGTCTTGTTTTCGTTCATAAATCTCAGAAACTCACCTGTCGACTCAAACCTCAGAATGGTAAGCTTCCTCATCGGCTTCTGCTGCCGTGTATTTCCACAGGCGGCGATATACACGAGATGCCTGTGCGCCGTTGCGTTGCTTATTCTTGTTATGGCCGTGGGCCTGCCGTTATGTACGTGGTGGTGCGTGAAGAAGTTAGACCCTGCAGATGATGAGGCTCTCGAGTAGTTCTCTGGTTATTTGTTGGGACAATAATGAAAAGAGCTGTTACATTTTACCCTAAGAAAAGCATGCACATGCAGTACAAACAACTTTCCGGAAAGCTAGATGATCTATTGATGGCAGATACCTAGGGTCTATGCATCCTGCTTTCTCGGAAACATACACCCCGTTTAGAAAGGAATTTGTATATGGGATGTCACGGTGAAGTCCAGCACGATCTTGCACGTCATCAACGCCCACAAAGATTCTGCCGGGGCACTCAGCATCTCGCCTCGTGACGGTATTCTGCTAGCCAGTGGATCCAACGATGGCACTGCCCGCATCTGACCTTGAATCGTACGAAGCTCTAGGGGAACCTCTCAAACACGACGCCGAAGTGCGGTCTATTTGCTTCGCGCCTGACGGTTCGCAAGTGCTAACCGGGTCAAGAGACGGAGCAGTATGCCTATTGAACATCTTGCAAGGTCTCGTAGAGCATGTCTTTGTTTGGCGTCATAAAGATGTGGTCAACAGCGTGCACTTCTCGGGCGATGGATCGAAGTTTCTGAGCGCATCAGACGATAAACACGTTTTTGTATGGGATGCTGGCACTAGAACGATTTCCAGACTCTATACCATTACGTTGAGGTAATATCGGCGGCTTTCTCACCAGATGGAACGCAAATCGTGAGCGTCACCGGAAAGAGTGATTTTATCGGTGATCTCCACCTGTGGGACACGAAATCTGGGCGTCTCCTGCGTCCCAAGGTTCGTGCTCACCCTCCCTCTTATAACACTCGTTGAAGACACTTGCGTCATACATAGCGACTCGGCGGAATTGGTATCGCCATAGACAAAGCTTCGACGGAGCCCGAGGTAAGTGTCCTAGTTTCCTTCACTATGCGATACTCATCTCATATCTAGAACCCCGGTGAACGGAGCGGGGGGACTCAGAGAGAGGACATGGAAAGACGATGGTAATTACCATGTTCCTTTTTCTTCGTATGTGCTTACACCCAAGTAGAGCTTGGACTTCGATGAGGGCAGCCTTTTAGAGGTACGACTCGTCTATCAATATTGGTTTTCGACTGGTAACCTATCGAATATCGCCGCTATCAGCGGTCAGCAATTCCGACAAAGAGAGGGGATATATCAGCTGCCAGCGGCAACGAGGATATCGTGAGTTACATGCCAATAAGTACACGCACTTAACGCTGATATGTATAAAAGCAGACTGAATGGGGGAGTTCTGGCGCAATGAAGAGTACGATCAAACGCCTTCGGGTTTTTGCCCAGCGCTGGTCGCTTACGAGAGGGCATCTCAATGAAGTCGACGAGGAAGTACGTGTCAGTTTTTCCTTCGTTTGGGGAACCGAAATCGCTTAAAGGACGTCGCTTGCGCTCGGAAGAGTGCACCGTTATCAGACAACGTCCAAGGTACTACCACTAGTGACCGCTTTAGCGCGGTGACTAATGTCTTCCACCGAGTGAGGGTTCGTAAATCATTTCCATCGGCGAACGTTCATACCATCCAGTTGACGTTTTATTTGAATTTGTGCCATTATTTATAGGTGCATTTGACGCGGTCTGGCGAGGAAACCATTGCCATCGAGCAGGGCGGTGAAGAAGAACGCGAATCATATCCTATGCAGAACCTCGACGAACCTCGACGCGTTGTAGAAGTTTACCCGGCGCGGAGCGAACCGGTAAATCACCCTGAACACAACACATCGATATTATCGCTCATTGCTGTTCACAGAGATACTTGGCGGGTACCCTCCCAGACATGACATGTTGGCAGATTATACAAGTGCTGTTCCTCTGCAAAGCGATCGAAGACGTCGTAGACGCTGGCGGACAGACGAATACAGCCCAGCCAACATCGACAGGAAATGGTAACCAAGCCACTGAGTCTCGTACAACCTGAAATGACTGGACGAAGCCTCACACATCTTGGTACGTGGTGCTTTCAATACGGAAAGAATCGTGCTCACGAAGGCTCGCGTACTACCTGTGTCATAGCACGTCAGGCCGTTCGCGTGTTTATAAGTTTGTGTTCAACTGTACGGTCTGATATGATGATTGGACCCTTCATATACGGTACAAACGCGTTCATCTTGTGCATTCGCAGCCGCTGGTCGTCGGAGTCAGATTTTCAAGAAGGGCGTGTCGGGTATAACGCCATCTAGATGTTTCGGTGTCAGCGACTTATTAGGCTATGATAATTATTGAATGTATACGAGCAACGTTGCCACGACATTGCTTTGAGGCAGCGTGATATCAGAATCGAAGGAGAACAAGGATTCCATACACGCGTAGACAACAGACCCGTTACATTAGTATAATTCAACACAGGAGACTACAAAGGAAACCAGAATAAAAGCATACGATACAAACCGCAACAAAATCGGTCCAATAATCCACTCCGCCCTCAGCCCCATTCTGACAGCATCCTACACCCCGAGCCTAACACTCCAGCTACCCATCTCCTCACTACCCCACGTACCCTTCTTCTTCCCATGCGCATCCCGCAGTCATTCGACGCGCACACCAACGGCAGTATCGACGAGGGCGCACGTTGAATCTTAAAAAAAAAAGACGGGAGCGCGTGCGACGCGCTCGACATGGATGACGACGCTCGGTGCGCACTGCAGCGTCTGGTCGGCAAACAGACCTGTGAGCCCACCGAGGGAGCGCACGGTATTGCCCGTGATGATGCCGCCTGGGCGGAAGATGAGCACGGTGAGGGGATGGGAGGGGATCGGGGTTTACGGTGTTTTTGTTGACGTGGACGTTAAAGAGGTGGTGGAGGCGGTAAGTATGGGTGCTGAAAAAGTGGGTATGCGCTGTGGAGGTGGTTTTTTAGATTGTGGAGGCGGTGCGGGCGTTTCCTCGAAGCATGCGGGAGGTTCGTCCGAGATGGGGGGAGGCTCGATAGCCTCGGATGGTTCGACTGGTGGCTTCTCTTCCGTAGGAGCGGGTGCAGATTATGGCTATGATTCTGGAGCTGGAGAAGGAAATGGCGCAGACATACTGTAGTATGCGAAGCAAGCTCGAACAATTCACGCTCCGTACGCCCCTCATCCAGAACGGCGCGTTCAGCTTCCTCATGCAGCCAGCCGCCGCGGGCACCAGTGCGTCTTTTACCGGCTCGCACGTGCTCACGAACGGCATCGCAGGTATGTCCGTGCACGATTCGGGCGCCGGTACCAGCACCGCAAGTTTGGGCGCTCAGAATGCGGACATGGCACCTGGGCCAGCAGCGGCGAATGCGAATGGGGGGCTCAAGGACCAACGCCGGCTGAGCATGCAAGACAACTTTGCGATGTTGATCGGGAGCGCGGTCCGGCTAGCGGTGCGTCTGAGGGCCGGGGAGGACGGCGGATCCCGTGTGGGTGACGCTGCAGGAGTTGGTCGAGGGGATATCGAGGGATGGTGAGGGCGGTGATGGCGAGGAAGGGGGAGAAGGAGGGAGGTGAGCGTGCACGAGGATAAGCGGGTGCTCGAGGATCCAGATTGGGAGGATAATATGGATAGGATGCTGGAGTCTGGGCGTGAGCAGGGGCGAGTTTGTGACGATTATGGATGAGGAAGAGCAGATGGGCACAGTTGCCGTGGGGCTGGCTGCGTTGCTGTGAGTAGCTCTTCCTCCCCTGACGTTTCATCGATTGGATGCTACCCGCCAACCCAGGCCAAATCACCCACACACGATGTCCCGCGCTCGTCCTCCCATCGTCGCTCCCCGTCTCACCAAAGTTCATCACTCCCGCCAGTAACGCCCGTGTCACCCGAGAAAACGCCCGCGCAGGGGCTCTCGGGCACATCGCCCAACCGCCGCACGCCTACGGACGATGACGGCGACTAGGACGGAATCATCGCCAACGACGGCGAGGGCAGAGGCCCGCCAGACCCGAAACGCCTTAAAGTCGGTGCTGCGCCCAATGCCATGGCCATGCGCATATGCATACCCACGGACGGAGCGCCGGTAACGGGAACTTGAAGGCAAGGGGGGCGGGGGTGCCGGATGCGGGGCAGGAGAGTCCGAGTAAAAGGAGGAGGATGGAGGAGGATGGGTTGGTGTTGCTTGAGAGGGCCGGAGGGAGGATGGTGGATGTGATTGAGATTGAGTAGGGTGGGGTTTGGCGTGCTGCTCGGTCGACTTGCGCCTCCTTCACGTTGAGGACCGTGCGCGTTTTGAGCATGACTGTAGTCGAGCGAACGATGCAGGGAGACCTAGGGAGACGAAGGGGCGAGGGTGCGAGGGCGTGTATATTAGGTGGCGGGCGGCGGGTGTATATATATCTTGTTGACGCGCGCTGTTGCGGTGCGCGTCTTGATCTCTTCGTTGTCGTAATGTAATGCTCTAATTATTTCAGGCGCTTTCCTTTCCGTTGACGGAAAGCTGACAGGTATGTCTAGACATCCGCAGCGCCTCACCAATGCAGAGCTCGACATCAGGAGGCCAGATGGACCGGGCGAACCCAGACATAGTGCGAGGAGGTCGTACCTTTTTGAAGTAATTTCGTGCGGCGTTTTCCGAAGGAGAACAGAACAACTTCCTCAGCGCCTACCTCGGCGTTGTGCTTGACAACCAACATCGACCATGTGAACTACGGCAAAGAACGTCTTTCTGTCTTAAACGCCACAGCAGCAGCTCGCCATCCATCTTCTAGCCCATCATGGAGGGTGCAAGCTTCCAGCCATTCAAGGGCCACACTGGCTGGATTCTCGCACTCGCATACTCACCTGACGGTACACTCCTCGCCACCGGGGCCCCTGACGATACAGTTCGGTTGTGGAACACGGAAACAGGCCGCCAAGTAGGCGATGCTCTGGAAGGGCACGCCGAATCCGTCACAGCCGTCGCTTTCTCTCCTAATGGACGCCACCTCGCGAGCGGCTCTGATGACTCCTCCATGCGTGTCTGGGACGTCGACACGCGTCAGACGGTCATGGGTCCACTGGAGGGGAAAAAAGACTCGGTGCACGTTCTGCAGTATTCGCCTGACGGTGTGCTCATTGCGAGCGGGAGTGAAAAGGGCGTTCTCAAGTTGTGGACCGCACGCGAAGGCAAATGCGTGGCGACGTTCAAGCACCCGCGCAGCGTCAACTCTATTACGTTCTCTCCGAGCGGGAAGCACGTCACGACTTCCTCTGACGACTTGCTTATCCGTGTTTTGACTGTGGACGGTCTCAAGATCGTCCGCGAGCTGTCTGGGCATCGAGAAATGGTGCGAAGCGTTCAGTACTCGCCTGATGGGTGTACCCTAGCCAGCGCGTCGGATGACTGCACCATCCGCCTTTGGAATGCCGAATCTGGCGAGCTGGTACAAGAGCCTCTGCGCGGACACAAGTACTGGGTCACCAGCATATCGTTCTCGCCTGATGGGCAGCAACTAGTCAGCTGTTCGGGCGACGAGTCTATTCGTATCTGGGACGTCATATCTGGAGAATGCACCTCGGGACCGCTGTATGGGCATAAAGGGCGGGTATCGACTGTATGTTGTTCTCCAGATGGAAGAGAGTTTGCTTCCTGTGGCGAAGGCGGCGTGCATATTTGGAGCCTACATGATAGAAAACAGGTCCTTCCGCAGGTACGTGAAATGTTTATGCCCTCGTTTCCAAGTGGCTAACAAAGGCTTCCGCAGCCAACCCCGGAGGGTAAAAATGGGATATCAGAAAGACACCAGTGCGTTTTCTCGATGTCTTTGCTACCTCTTCGTCTTCGGGTCTAATCAAGGATAGATTGAAGTCATACAACACGGTATCGGCCGTAGCATGGTTCTCCGACGGCCAGCGCTTCGCATCTACGGGAGAAGACTGGGTGGTTAGGATCTGGGACGCACACACAGGCCAAGAATCAGCCAATCCTCGGGCCTGGCATAACAAGACTGTGAACGACATAGATATTTCAAGGAAGGAAGATCGTTTGGCGAGCGCTGGGAACGACCGCATCATCTGCATCTGGGACCTTCAGAGCGAGCGTGTCGAGCCAAAATGTCTTTCTGGGCACACAAGAAACATACGAGTGATTAGGTTTACTCTCGATGATGCACGTCTCATCAGTGGAGGAGACGACAAGACCATCCGAATATGGGACGTAGAATCGAGCGCATCGTTGCACGTCATCGAGGGGCACACCAACGCTGTCAGGTCTCTAAACATCTCGGCTGACGGTGCTCGGCTGGTGAGCGGATCTAAGGACATGACTGTGCGTTTCTGGGACCTCGAATCGTACCAAGCTCTAGGGGAGCCTCTCCAACACGAGGGCGGAGCTATGGCTGTCTGCTTTACGCCTGATGCTTCGCAAGTCTTGAGCGGGTCTTCCGACGGATCGGTCCGAATATGGGATATCTCGAGCAGAGAGCAGACTCTTATCTTCAAGCACGAAAAAGCACTCAACTGTATACGATTCTCATCCGACGGTTCCAAGTTCCTGAGTGCATCGGACGATGGGCAAGTTCGTGTGTGGGAGGCTACCCCCAGAAAACTCCTCCAGACTCTGCAGCACGACAACAGGGTGTATTGCGCCGCGTTTGCGCCAGATGGGACTCGGATCGTGAGCGGCACGTTTCGTGGCAACGTTGGCGGTGATCTTCGCCTGTGGAGGGTGAAGGACGGGCGTCTTCTGCTCCCCAAGGTTTGTATCCCTTATATCATCTTTCTTGGCGAGCTAACCAGCGATGTTATCATCACTCACAGCAACTCATCGAGGAAGCAGCTGGTGCAGATAACGATGTACGGACGCCCGAGGTAGCCATTTTTGTTCCATTCCTTCCTCCATGCCGCTGATAAAGATCCAGAACAACGGGATAGAGAACGACAAGACGCAGGAACGGCGCGTACAGGCATCTACGATACCGGTAACATCTCAGTTACACCTTTTGAGCGTGTTCTAACACCCAAATAGGCGCTAGATTCTGACACAGACAGCTTCATGGGCGTGCGTCTCTTTCATCCTTGCCGTTCATCAAGTGGTTTATCAGAATGCGATGGTCCCAGCGGTCAGCAGTCCCCCCACGACGAAATGTCTTCACAGACGCCAATATTCCTAAAACTATGGTGAGCCTTTCTGAGAATGAGATGACCACTTCTCATATATATCAAAGTCGACGGGGACAAAGGATTATAGAACGAATGACCTCACGTTCGGCGCCCTTCAGGCGAACATCAATGACCGCTTGAGCGGAGTAGCGAAGGCACTTCGGCGATTCACGGTTCGTCGTTTATTATTGCTCCGATCATCCCACTGCATTCTGAAGTCAGTGCTACTTCTCTAACTGTCGTCCTTCTGAAGGCTCGTAGGACGCGCGGCCGTAAACAGGACATCCCCCCTGGACAAGATAGCGAAGAAGGCAGCAACTCGGAATCACACTCGATGCACAGCTTACACGACCCACCGCGCGTCTTGGATATCATCTATACGTCTCAAGCTGAAGCAGTATGTAACAATGGCCACTACACAGTACTGTTACTCACTGCTATTCACAGAGATACGTCGCGGCTGGCGACCGACCTAATTTCACGCGGTGGCAGTTAATACGACTGATCTTCTGTTGCGCCTCGCAGGCGGACATCCTCTCGCCCGACGATGGGAAGAACGCCTCAGCTCGATCAGAGTCGTCAGCAGCTCGCGGCGGAGCCGCTAAACCCAATTCTACTGGAGCCTAAGATGAATCGCAGCTCAATGGAACTAATCACGATGCTTTTGCAAAGTATGTGTCTCGTTTGTATGCAAGAATATTTATGCTTGGCAAACATTCACACTTATCAATATTTATTGTTACTTCATGTCTTCTATGACTTTGCTTCGAGATAGACAATGCGTGCTTTATGAGCCGGCACTTTACTAGACACAGATTCGACTTTTAGGAGACATATGTCGGGCATGTGTGTTGCTTGTCACGACAGCGATCAACATTGACTAGTGCGCCTGGCAGATTGTTGACCTTCCTTTGTTCGTCTTCAGTGAATGAGGCATAATTTCCTCGTAGACTCGGTTAGCTAGGTCTCTCATATGCCAGTGTCGCACCTCCCCGAGGGCAAAATCGGACGAATCAAGCGCAGACAGCATCTTCCTCGGGCTGCCAACAAGATACCCCTCAGCGAACCGCCCAAGCGTGATCAAATGAATATGCGTTCCAAGTTGTCTGGTATGCTCGCCTCCAGCATTTCGAAATTACTATACTGACCGCCGTTCTCGGAGTTTTCGTTCAGTTTTCGATTGTCCCAAATTCATATCTTGTCCGTTAACTCGAGGATTTATTACGTTGGTTTGTTAGCTCTGCTTAGTAAATTATCCGTCTCGCTTGGTCGAGATGTAACATGTGTATATAAACTTTTATTTATGCTGAAGCGGAATGTTTGAATGCTAGCGTGGTGCCAGTATTCCCACGCTTACTTTTCTTAAGCTTCTCGCGCACCGCTTGTTACTCGTATATTTACTCGTATATTCAAAACTCGGGGAAATGCCGCTGTAGCGACGGAAACCTTGCTTGACGCTGGGATCTGCGCTTCGAACAATTCGCAAAACCTTGTCCATTCATCATGAAGCCAACATGTAGACCCTAAAGAATTACCAGAGACATCAAAGTAAGAAGTAATAGCCAGTCTAATGTAGTATGTGTACATCCATAGTACTAGTAGGGTATACTAGTCTGCTTGCAGCGGCATCAGAGTTTTGGCTTCTTACTTGGGGATGCAGCGAGATTGATGGAGCGCTCGATCTTGTGCTTCTTCGGAGAAGAGTAACCGGTGAGTGGTGGAACGACAGCCTTCATCATCTCGATGTTTGCAACATACACATCCGATGCATGCTTGTTGTCTTTAGCAGAAAATGACCAATGACTCATTGAGAAATGTAACCCAACCGTAGCACCATCAAGTGCCTGGGTTCTTTTTTTTTTTTTTTTTTTTTATTTTTACACT